CATTTCTAAAATTCTGTTTTCACTTTGTCATTATGGGGTACTGAGTGCAGATTAATAAGAAAAAAATGAATTTGAACGATTATAGTATCAAGCTGCTATTTGCAATAACAAAATTGAAAAAAGTGAAGGGGGTCTGAATACTTTCCGAATGCACTGTACATGTTAAGCCATTTAAGGCCTCAAAAAGCGAGAAGAAAACCTTGAACTAGGCTTAAAATGGAATGGTTAGCCATGCAGATAGTGGAGAATAGATGCAATACGATTCTGACCCTATGTGCTGCTTAGTAAATAAGCAGAAAGATTATGCGTCTGCTGAAGCCCATGTAAAGTGCATTAGAGTAGCTTGGATACAAGGCTTTTCAGATAAGAATCATTGTGGCTGCCTATCCCAATAAGAAAAGTTTCTATGACATTAAAGAGAGAGAAAGGGAAAGAAATTACTGTAGGCAGTGAACTGTTTGGAACTATCAGTAAGCACTCTTTGCTTTTGTAGTCACTAGGCTTCTGGTGAAAAAGCTGCATCAAAGAGTTCTACCAAGATAGCCACCAATTCTTTCAGGAAGAGGTGCAGTTCTGTAAGAATTTACCATTTTCTTACTTCTCAGATTTTGTAGTGTAAATGTAGAAAAAATATTTATTGAGATATAGGTAACAAATGGATATAATATTTCATATTTCCTTTATTAATTTCTGTGTTACTTAAATATAAGTTCATAGAATTTTTGGTTCAAGCTTAGTTTAAATCAGATGTTCAGAATTATAAGAAAAGTACATTTGAAATATAAAATTACATGAATTATCTATGGATTTTTTTACAGGCATAATTTTTTCACTGAATGACAAATCAAGTTCTTCTAATCTGAAGATAGATGCTTTATCGTGTTTGTATGTGATCCTCTGTAATCACACTCCCCAAGTTTTTCATCCGCATGTTCAAGCATTGGTGCCTCCTGTAGTAGCATGTGTTGGAGATCCATTTTATAAAATAACATCTGAGGCGCTTCTAGTTACCCAACAGCTTGTTAAAGTCATACGCCCTCTGGATCAGCCTTCTTCTTTTGATGCCAGTCCTTATATCAAAGATTTGTTTACTTGTACAATCAAGAGACTGAAAGCTGCTGACATTGATCAAGAAGTAAAAGAGAGAGCAATCTCCTGTATGGGCCAAATCATTTGCAGTCTTGGAGACAATCTTGGTTCTGATCTACCTAATACTCTTCAGATATTTCTAGAGAGACTAAAAAATGAGATAACTCGGCTAACCACTGTGAAGGCTTTGACTCTGATAGCTGGTTCTCCTCTGAAGATAGATCTAAGGCCAGTTCTAGGAGAAGGTGTTCCTATTCTTGCTTCTTTCCTCAGAAAGAACCAGCGTGCTTTGAAACTTGGAACTCTGTCTGCTTTAGATATATTAATAAAAAACTACAGTGATAGCTTGACAGCTGCTATGATTGATGCTGTCCTAGATGAGCTTCCACCTCTTATTAGTGAGAGTGATATGCACGTGTCACAAATGGCCATCAGTTTTCTGACCACTCTGGCTAAAGTTTATCCTTCCTCACTCTCAAAAATCAGTGGTTCCATATTGAATGAACTTATTGGGTTGGTAAGGTCACCATTATTGCAAGGTGGGGCACTTAGTGCCATGCTAGAATTTTTCCAAGCTCTGGTTGTGACTGGAACAAGCAACTTGGGATATATGGATTTATTGCGCATGTTAACAGGTCCAGTGTACTCTCAAAGTACAGCACTTACTCACAAGCAGTCTTATTATTCAATTGCCAAATGTGTAGCTGCCCTAACACGAGCATGTCCTAAAGAGGGACCAGCAGTTGTGGGTCAGTTTATTCAGGATGTCAAGAACTCAAGATCTACGGATTCCATTCGTCTCTTAGCTTTGCTTTCTCTTGGGGAAGTTGGACATCATATTGATTTAAGTGGACAAATAGAGCTAAAATCTGTAATTTTAGAAGCATTTTCCTCTCCTAGTGAAGAAGTGAAGTCTGCAGCTTCATATGCATTGGGAAGTATCAGTGTCGGCAATCTTCCGGAATATCTCCCATTTGTCTTGCAAGAAATAACTAGTCAGCCTAAAAGACAATACCTTCTGCTTCATTCCTTAAAGGAAATAATTAGCTCTGCCACAGTGCAAGGTCTCAAACCATATGTGGAGAGCATCTGGTCTTTGCTACTCAAACACTGTGAGTGTGCAGAAGAGGGCACCAGGAATGTTGTTGCTGAATGCTTGGGGAAACTTACTTTAATAGATCCAGAAACTCTGCTTCCACGCCTCAAAGGATACTTGGCCTCAGGTTTGTAGACATTCAAATATTTATGTTGTCTTTTGGAAAAACCATTCAGAAAATTATTGAATTATTCACTGCTGATAATTAATACAGACTTGAATAAATGGATTTTGGGTATCAGTTTAAGTGATAAAGAAGAGGAGGAAATCTTCAGCTGTCCAGTTTTTAAAGATGTTAATACATAAAAAACCTCCATTATATATGTTGAAATGTTTTGAATAGGTTTATCTTGTAACGTTTGGTACAGATAAAATGCAGTATCTGATAAATTGGATATCATTTTTAAAAAATTATCATTTGGAGAACAGATTGACAATCCAGTGTCCAATGTTTACTATGGGAGATAGGAAAGATATGCAGGAGGAACAAATCTTTGCAGTAATATTATTGGAAACGATGCACTAGAAAAATGGGTGTTACTGTTGTCCTGTACAAGAATTTACAGAATGGTTAAAATTGTCCAATCCATGTTAGGACCAGTAGAATAAGAAATCCTCTTAGTTTTCCTCTCTGTTTTTAAAGCTGAATTATTTTTCTAGAATGATCATACACAAATACAATTTAATCACCACCACCACCACCAAGAAATAATCCTATTTAAAAAGTTCATAGCTTCTACATACAAAATATTATATGGTAGATTTCATTTATTTTGCCAGTAACCTGTAAAACTATATTTGGATGAACTTGTTGATAATAAAGAATCATCATTTGGCAGCAGCAGCACACCTGATCATTTCTATTTCCTCTTGCCAGTCACCTTGGATAAAGTTATGTAGGAAAGATCTGTACCCATGTTGATGGATATAAGAGATGTAATCAAATGTAATAACATAGTTTGGTCCTGTTGGACCTGAGGAAGTGGACAGGGTCCTCCAGACTATTAATGCCACCACTTGTCAACTAGACCCATGCCCCACCTGTCTGGTCAAGGCCGCTCAGGAGGTGATGTGGGTGGCTCCAGGCGATGGTGAATTCATCCTTGAGAGAAGGGGTGTTCCTGGTTGTCTTTAAAGAGGCACTGGTGCATCCCCTCCTCAAGAAATCATCCCAGGATCCCCCTGTACTGGACAATTTTTGTCCAGTCTCCCACCTCCTCTTTTTAGGGAAGGTGGTTGAGAAGGTAGTGGCATTGCAGCTCCAGAGGATACTGGATGAAACAGATTATCTGGACCCTTTCCAGTCAG